AAAAAGTTTTATTAGGAATTTTATCACAATATTTAATATAAGATTAGAGATAAGTAATTGTAAACTTTAGTATTTTATACATTGTGTAATTTTTCTTTCTCCTTCAGTGTTTTTTATAAAAAACGTCTGAAGTCATATTCGTTGTATATGCAGTCCTTCAATATATAAAGATTTAACTTCAATATATAAAGACTTCATTTAATAAATAGTTTTTGCACTTTATATAATAATACTTTATGTATATACATTGTATTCAGGGTGTCCAGTAAAGAATGGATAATCTTGAAATGTTTTATAGTTGAACTTATGGCCAAAAAATAAATTTTATGTCATAAGTAGTACCTACTCAAGATAAGTTTTTTGTTAAGAAATGTCTCATTTTTCTTACCTTACCTTACTTTCTCAAATTCTATGACCAGAAATGAATGAACTACATCGGTATTTTAGTGTTTTGTTATTATACACTAACTATGAGGATAGATACATAGTACATAATGTGACTAGCTACATCACTTTTTTTTTTAATACAAAAATTAGCTTCATTTGTAAAAATTATCAAAATTTATTTTCTTAACCATTTCTGCCACTGCTTGTACCAAGAACACGTCTACTAGGTATTCTTCCTTCTTCTCTTCTTATTAGGTATAGGTATAGGTATTCTTCTCTTCTTAATAATAATAAATCATAGACTCTTATAAATACACGGTAGTCTGGATGGTGTGCAAGGAAATTAGTATATAAGGAAAATTATTATATAAGGAGAATTAGTATATAAGGAGAATTAGTATATATGGAAAATTAGTATATACGGAGAATTAGTATATAAGGAAAATTAGTATTCAATTACAGGAAGCAATAAGGAATGTATTATATGAACTGTCACTTTACATGGCTGAAATTTTTTAAGTCCTTAACAAAGGCCCATTAAGTAGTTCAAGGACACATTTTGAAATCACACTTGATAAAGTTTTTTGCACTTATCAAAGATTAAATGATTTAATTTTATAAATAATTTAATTGAAAATAAAATTCGACGATTAGAATCTCGTTTTATGCAGAAATAATACATACAGGGCCATATTATCTTTAATTTTACGGTTTTTATAATTATCGCAATAAATCATATCCATCGGCATTTTTTAAAATCTAAATCCTGGCGAATAATCGTTGCAATTGTTTTGAGATTCAATACAACTTATCTCACAATAGACATATATACATACAGTGGCGGCTGGTGGGTTATCGAACTGGTGGTTCACTTTACTAAAATATTGACAAAAACAACAATTGTCATAAAATATGTTTATTTTTTGTACATTAATTCATAACTATATCCAACTCTGATACAAAGTCTATTAATCCACGAAACACTCCAGCATTACTGGACTCAATAGTTTCATCGTGACCTCGCAAAGGTAACTCAAATGCACCACAAAACTTGACACAATCGATAAGACGTGATAAAATGTATCTGTTTTTATCAACTTTTTTATTATACTTTTGGATATTACTTCTATACACAGAATCTAGCTGATTACGAATATCGACTGTGCCTAACACAGACAAACTCATTACATTTTGTACTTAAGTGTACTTGTGAAGAATCATGTTTTTTTTATTTTTTCACTTAAATGCGTCAAATCCTTGATTCCAGTTTCTGTCCAAATCGATTCTCCGCCAAAAATAATGCAAGGAAAACAAAAGAATGAATTAAGACGCTCACATCCACACAACCATTTCTTTCTATTATACATTTCACTTTTAAAACTTCGTATAAATGCTTTATTTTTCGATTTACACTCTTGTTTTAAATTTAAAAAGGGCCGTGGCGGCCCGGCCAATTTTATGTTCACTTTACTTTGAAAAATTTTGTTATTTTCTTTAATATAATCAATATTTATACTCATTTTCAACTAATAAAAAACACAGTACAGAATAAAAGTTCTATTATAGAAACGAAATAAAAACTAAAACGAATTACGGAAATAATTATAAACAATAACGAATTAACGCGTCACGCATACAGTGAAAGTTGAAACAATACCAATAACGATTAACGAAATGTCAATCATAGCACCCATCCTTTCGGCCGGCCCCTTGCCGGCCGGCTCAATACGTCATACATCGGGTGCTCTCGGTAACCTTCGGCCGCTTCGTGCGGCGCTCGAGAACCGACTCGTTACTCGGTACATTTCTATGAACTATCTTTTGTCTCACGCGTCAGGCGTATTGATGCGTGTCTCATACAAGATGTATTAGCAGTCCTCGTGCACTCGCCGGAGCGCACGATATGAGTTTAGTAAAGCGCTCAAACTTTTTGACCATAATTGGAAATTAATTTTTTTATACCTTTTTGTATGTTTAAAAAATAAATATTAAAATGGTAATTTAAAAATTAAGATGACATAATATTTTGTAATTTTTAAATATTTTGAATTGGTGGTTCAGCGCACGGGGGCACTTAAGGTACAGCCGCCACTGTATACATATATACAAATATCTTTATCTTTATATACATAATTCTTCTGTGAGTGTGTATGTCACTGAACTTCTCTCAAACGACTGGACCGATTTTGATGAAAGGAGAAGGAAACTTGTGGGCCCAAAATGTAATGAGTTCAAAATTGATTTAAAAAATTACTTTATTTTTTTTTTGTATAAAATACCAAAAATCTGCATAAATTCTCAATCTACAAGCAGAGAAATATGCAAAAAACTGTTTTTATGATGCAATCGATTAACGGTTAACTAAATAAAAAATGATTATTCGATTATTTAACTATAAATAAAAACTTCACTCCTAGTTTTCAACATATAGTAACTTCATTTAAACTACACCATATATGTCTACAATTCAAGAAAAATAACTTTTAATAACGTGTATTAATATAATAATAATATTAAATCTTATTTTAAAACTTCCTTTTCGATTATCGATTCCATATCGATCGAAATCATTCAGTACATAGTCTATTGCAACATGACATTGACACTTAACATTTACCATGCCAAATGCATTGTTATTAGTTATTAGTTATCTGAGTCTGACTTAATTTGTGTTTTTCGATTCGTTTCGAGTGCTTTCCCGATCATTTTACATTTTCAACGACCACTTCTTTGTTTTTTACGGACTCCGAACCCGCCCTTTTACGACCCTTGCTTTCACATTGGACACCGACGATCGCCTGCACGTTTGACTTGGAATTGTTAATTTGGATTATTTCGCCGGCTCGTGGATTGGATAATACTGAAACGATGGATCGCTGTGTGAATTGTTTGATAGCAACTAGTAACATTGTAGCCCCTGCACTGTTCCTAGACGATATTGTAATTATTATTGAAGAGGAATAAAATGCATATTCCATTAAAATTATTTGTTTTATTTTATGACTTTTATCACATAGTTCACTTCTCCTGTTCCTCGTAAAATTCCATACTTGTTACCGATATTTGTATATCTTTGAGTCTTTCTTGCCTTGTTATAACTTATCAGATATTCTCTTCTAAATAAAACTATTATTTTTCACATACTTTTAAGTGTATTCATCTAACTCTTAAAGATAATGCAATATAACGTCACTTTTACTGAACCTTCAATAACTCAGCTATCTGATTGTCAATTTCTATAGAATTTTCAATGAAGAAACTCTTAATTTTGAACCTTTTAATTAATACCATTTTCATGTTTTTACATTGTGGGCCCAGAATTGTATGCAATACTTTTGGATCTCCTTTGTTGTGTGTGTTCAAGGGGATCTGGGAATTGTTTAGATTCACAATTTTGTCCGCTGGACAATGTTTTTTTAATTAATTTTTAATTTATTCGTAGTTGTTGATACAAACGTTCTTTTTTTGTGACATTAGATTTGACAACTAACTAATATGTCAATCATTCTTTCGCACTTCAAAACACGGAGATTTATGGCTTTAATAGGTAAACTCAAAAAATAGAAATAAAAAAACGTAACAGATATTTCTTGATTATAGGGCAATACGAAGTTCGCCGGATCTTTTAGTGTATATATATATACATATATATATATATATATATATATATATATATATATATATATATATATATATATATATATATATATATATGAATATACATTCATAATACAATGTTTTAATTATGTTTAAAAAACACTTTAGCTACTCATCACACAAAAAATTTAAAAGTAATATGTTCTTGGATGTTTTATATCAATGTACATTCAATGCGCCATACTTCTGAAAATTATCAGGAATTAATGAAAACCAATAGGAAATAGACAATATTTATTTTTATTTAATAATTAACAGATTAAAAATGTCCTTGAATATAATGTTTTCACTAAGAAAACAAAATCTACTAAATTTTAAAATCAATTTAAAATATAATTCATTATGTTTTTGTCATGTTTTTTAGTTAAACCAAAAGAGAAACGAGCAAAAATGATAGTCGACCAAATATTTTTTCCTTAAGGAATGATCGTACCTAATTTTACTAAATAAAATAATTTTGCTTCTACTTAACGAAATCTTCCTTTTCCATTTTTCATTTTAATTAGCAAGATATAATGCAAAACGTAAACAATGTTCCAACACAATAAACATAATCTACTTTATTTAAATAGGACCATCGTATCTTAGAATGAAATTATCCAAGTAATCTTTTTACTGTCTGCAATCTTGAGCTTCAGGTTCAGTTGTAACGGAATTGTGAACGAAGAAAGTATTTAGATAATGGTATCGCCGTATTTGAAACAGGTTGGTTCCTACTTTATAAATTTATTAAAAACACACTTAATTTTTTTAACACATAATTACTGGTCTTAAAATTAAATTTTACATTGCTCTGGAATCATTGTTGAAGTTAAAAAACAGTATTTTTAAAATATATTTTTTATTTTGCTAGATATACAACGGGAAACTCATAAAAAATTCGAGTTAATACATATTTTTTTTTTATTTTATAATGAATAAAGTACAATAAAATATTTCTATAGACATGGACAGTCATGGGGGTCCTACTGAATATGTTTGGTCAAGGCATGGTGCTGAGTTATCCTTCTGTACTCTTGCCAGCGCTTTTGTCTCCCAACTCCATCATTAAAACTGAATTTCATGAGGCTTCATGGGTTGGTAAGTAGTATAATATTTTTAAACTTACATTAATTGTCTTTTGAAAGTAATGAACAACTAGTTGCAGTTATTATCGTATTTTTTTACAGGATCGTGTATTGGCTTCGCGGGGATACCTGGATTTCTGTCGTCTTCTTTTCTAATGGAAATGTATGGAAGAAAGAAAGCTCATGTGGCTGTGTTGATACCTGGGATAGTCGGTTGGCTGATAATTTACTTTGCCACAAGTATACCGGTTCTGCTGTGCGGTAGATGTTTATGTGGATTTGCTGCAGCAGCTACAGTATCTCTCGGAGCTATTGTGATAGGAGAATATACTAGTCCCAAAAATAGAGGAATGTTCCTTAATTTGAAGACAGCAGCTGTGTGTTTAGGCAATTCGGCCGTCCATATTTTTGCTCACTTTTTTAACTGGAAAACAATAGCTCTCATAGCTGTTGTTCCTCATATGTTATCACTGATTATAATCTTTACATGGCCTGAAAGTCCGTCTTGGCTTGCGTCCAAGCGACGATTTGAAGAAAGTCAAAAGTCATTCTATTGGTTGCGAGGGAACGATAAGAGAGCTATCCTAGAAATGGAAGACTTACTTAGAGCACAAAAAGAGAAATTGTCGCAATATCCTGAACACGTGAATAACTCTAACTTAATTATGGACTTTATACGTAAATTTAAAGAAAGAAGTTTTGTGAAACCACTCATTATAGTCTGTTTCGCTGGACTTTTACTGGAATCCTGTGGAAGACACATTTTCCCAGCATTCGCTACGCAAATAATTGGAGAAATTACCTCAGATAAATCTCAATCTTTCTACTATACTTTGGGTATAGATATAATCATCACAGCGAGTGCTTTATTCTCATCATTCCTCGTGAAAATCATGAAAAGGAGAACACTTCTCTTGGGCAGTGGTTTTATAGCACTATTTATTTTGTTTTGTGTGTGTTTGTATATGCTACTATCAGCCAAAGGAATTGTTTCGAATGAAAGGACTTGGATTCCTATTTTATTATTTACTGTGTATTTCATTGTTTCTAATTTAGGATGTACACCGATTCCGTTGGCATTGTTGGGTGAAATATTCCCTCTTGCTCACAGAGGAGCTGGTTCTTGCGTCTCCGGTTTTATTTTGTGCGTTTATCTTATGATAGCCATGCAAGCCACTCCATATCTGTTAGTTACTGTGCAAGTTTACGGCACTTTTGCAGTTTTTGGTACTTTAATGGGGATGTCGCTGATCGGTCTATATGTAACTCTTCCTGAGACCAAAGACAGAACGTTGCAACAGATTGAAGACTACTTCCAAACTGGAAAGTTCAGAAATGAGAACCTTGGAATAGATGAAGTCAATATGAAAATGCTTCAATCATAGAACAATGTATGGGTAAAAGATTTTAAACAGACAACATTACACATAAGTTTCAACTATTAATTCTATGACATATATTTAAATTGTTTTAAGCAGTCCAGTACAAGAAGATTCCTATGGAAATTTAAAAAATAAAAAATTGATTTTTACTAGTTATAATGTTTAAGTAAGAATTGAATCGAATATATTTTACATAACACGTTAATTAGAGATAAGAAGTCGTAAACTATAGTATTGTATACATTGTGTTATAAAAGTATTAACTTTATTACTGTTTTATTATTTAAACCAACTGTATTAGGACTTTAATGTTTTTATATTCAGTTTATTAAAATCACAGATTTAGATATTATGTAATAAGTAGTTTATATACCTACTAAAGACTTAGACTATATAACAGAAAACAAATATATTAACTCACAACAATGTTTGGCAAACATTGTTTGAAAATATTATAAACTTTTATCATGCAGGAAATAACTTGATAAAATTAATTGGAATATCACGAAGACCTATGAACTAGATTCAATAAAATTAAGATTGTGCTATCACCTTATTATTATTTATAACAATATTTCTTTTAGGTCAAGACACAATTTTTTGCGATAGTAGGTGTATTGATTAATATATTTATCACTTTCATAAACAGTATTATCTTTAAATCTAGTTCTAATGATTGCTTGATGATAATAAGTTCTATTCTAAATGAAACCATTTTTTTTTGGAGTCTACTCGTTTTTTTATATTTTACAATCACATAATTACACAAGATAATTATTATTATATCGTCTTTGGTGTCAGCAATAGTATTCTTGTTAACTTTATTTCAATTTGCTTGTATAAGTAGTGCCAAAGTATTTGCTTAGATTGTGTAAATAGGATGAAATATAAGTTGGTTGGTGGTTTTAAATATGGCATCGATCCGTGCAAAGACGTTCACAGTATACTCTGCCAGTTTTATGTAGAATGGAGGAGATACGATCCGGGATAAGCTTAGAAATGTTATAAAATTTAACAGCTTCCACTGAAGTCACAATAAGGAACTTTGTTAGTAGATATAAAACAATTAGATATAGTTAGTAGATATTTACAGTATAAAAATGTATAACTGATGCTATTATTATTTAAGGTTAAAGAATTTATTACAATTTAAAAATATTGATTTTAATATATTTACATATAAATTTACTAATGGGACGGTGAGGGAGTTTGGGTTATCTGAAAAGATAATAATTAATGTGTTACATATACAGATTTTCATTGATAAATTTTGGTCGATGAGAAATAATATTTCAGCATTTTTAATATTTTATGCAGATAGTAAACAGAACAGTTAATAATTATAGTTATAATATTTTTGAGATATAGTGGATTTTTTTCGTAAAATTGTAATATCAGTTTTTAAAATGTATATCGTAAGAAAAATGAAAGTCAGAATTCCAAGAACCACATTTTTGTGAAATGCCATAGTTATAACGCTAATCAAAAAACTATCGTGCTAGCCCCAATCGAAGGGTTTTGAGATATCATGTGCAATACTCTCAGTTATCACCATTGTTCTTTAGACAGCTCTTAAGAAACCAGGATTATCTGCCACCAAGAAGATAATTTTCCTTAAGGTGTGTTAGGGATCCGTTTAATAAACGTTACAAAATTTTACGGTGTATGGAGAAAATTTAAATATATTATAAGGATCTGCACAGCATTATTTCTATACACCGTACAGGTACACCGTACAGGTACACCGTACATGTGCCATGTTAGCAAACTTGTAAAATTAAGAAACTATTCTAGTTATTAAAGGAAAAAGTGAAATAAAATCAAAAGTATAGAAAGCTGGTTCACACGTCTTTAACATATGACTGGAATACTATCCTATCACATCAAGATCAGCATAAGTATTAGTAATTGCTTAATAGAAGTATTTTTCTCTATGGTACCATAGGTAAGCACGTCATATATACAAATTAGCACTGCTTAAGCCCACCCATAAGAACAATTAAAATCCTCTTTGGTTAATTCTTACTTACATACTTTTAATGATACATTACACAATACGAATGTTGACAGACATTTAATATGTCATTTGATTCGTGATATCATAAAATTGGTAACAGTGCCTTTTATGAACATAAAAAAATTTTTTGATCGGTTGCTGCTAACCGCTTCCCAAATTGGCAGTAAGTACAAAGTGGTGCATATTCTCCATACAAATATCATTTACAAAGTTTGTGTTATATGCAAAAAAAATTTGCATGTGTATATGCAAAAACTATGAATGTTTTAGAGTTAGAGAGACGTTTCTTCTTTAACCCTACTTGTTTAAGTCGTCATAGAAACTGTCAAATGAAAAGCGACTATTTAATTTGTTTGTAGGTATACTCTTCGATTTTTTTTTTTGCCATTTTGTTATTGTCTTTCTAAGCGCAATAATTTCTAATAGGTTTTAATTAGCAAATTAATGAATTTATTAACGAATTATGGAAATTTATAACTTTGGACTGTTGGTGACGTGTTTAACGAAATTAATTATTAGTACATTTTCGATTGTTTTAATTTTTCGTTGTCGTTTGTTGTTGTTTGATTGGTGTGATTGGTTTAGATTTAAGTAAAAAATAAACATAATGTTTTAATGAAAAGTATTATGATAGTTATAATTAGCTAGCAGGTTGTGTACACACAAATAAGTAATTTTGTTCATTTCAAATAATAATAATAATAAGAATATCTGGAACGTCTATGGATATTAAGATTTAAATAATTTTCATAAAGCTACTGCAAACCATTACCTATGAGAAAAACGATAAAATGATTGTTTAAATTTTTATGCCAAAAAAATCATAATTACGAAAAACACAGGCCCAAAGTACATAGAAGTCAAGTTAAGTCAGTGGTGGCCTAGTGGTGAAAGGCCCGCCTCTGAAGCACAACATCGTGAGGAAACCTGAATTAATGCATTCTCAAAGAGGGTTGATGTCAGACAGGCGGTCGGTTGTAAAAGCAATTAGGCAAAACTATTTACAATATGAAAGGCAGACCCTGGCTAAAGCTAGGAAATTGCCAGGAAGAAGTTACACGATCAAAGTAGACTCACAGATTTATTTTTAATTGCAATTGAAAAAAAATTATGACTATTCCGTAAGGATCTTGTCATTCAGTAAGACTTTATACAAATTTATTAAAAACTAGCTGTGCCCGCGACTTCATTCGCGTGGAATAGTGACTATGAGCAGCGTTTTTTTTTTAAATATATACTTATTTTTATTTTGGATCATAATCACAGTCATTTTGGGTAGCTAAAAAACCTACTTTACTGTAATGCTTCTCTATATACAATATTAGACGTATGGCCAACGGGGGTGAAAGCGTACAGGCTGCTGGGATTGCTAACACGGGACAGAGCCACATACAATTGACACACCCGGTCGAATATTAAACGCAGTTCTTCAGTTCTTTAATTTGACATAACGTTTTTATTTATGAACCGATTGAGATGAAACAAACACTAAAGCATAACTGGAGCATACCACAATATATTCAGGAAAACCGCTTCTAACTCGAATCAGCCGTTTCTGAGATTAGCGTGAACAGACAAACAGACAAAAAAAAAGTTAATTACATTTTTGGGTTCGACATCGACATAACAGTAACCCCTGCAATTATATATTTTTATTTTCAATGTACAGACAGCACTTTTCTACAATTTTATTATATGTATAGATATATAGAAGCGTTGATTTCGTTACTAAATAGTAAGTGATTTCTTATTGATGTGTAATAAGTAATAATTCTTAACAACCAGCCTCCTTTATATAGGGCACTTTGTATATTATTTAAATTACTTATTTTACCATCAATCATAACATGTCAATACAGCTCATCAAAATGTGAAGACGCTGAAAATTAACAAATTTTTTTCAATCATATACTTATACTATTTATCTTGGTATGCTTTGCTATGCTTGCTAGACCCTGGCTAAAGCTGGGAGAATTGCCAGGAAGAAGAAGATACTGCTTATAACAAAAATCTGAGCGTGGGTCTGGGTGGTATGCGTTTATTTGGGTATTTTTATGTATTTTTATTTCATTATACTTCATCTCCAAGTCCAACAAAATTTAATTTCGTTATATTGTTAATGATGATAGAACAAAAATATACAATTTTTTGCACCCTTTAAGTAGGTTCAAGACATCATGAAAGGCTCACACAATTGTTTTCTGTTTCTGTCATCTTATTTCTCGTAATAACTTACGCTGGTCACATTCTAATGACACGTGAATATTTTCTAGCGTGATACGAGTCGATAATAATTAATAACTGCTTGGTAGACGAGTTCTCATACAGAAGTGACGGACAATAGTATGTACAAATGTATTCAAAATTATTTATAACTCTGAACTTATTTATTTAATTTTTGTTCGTAACACCTATAGATTTTATACTGTTCCTTATCTTTCTGACTAAAAATAATATTTACACAGCAAATAATATATTTTTCGTTTGTTATTATATCATTGGATCCATCTTAGGATATTTATATTTTGTGCGTTAGGAACAAACTTTGCCCGTCTTACCTGTCTAATATTTTAGAAATCAAGAGGTGATTAGAAACAGCCCAAGGACTATAGAATGCACTCTTTCTAAATTTTCCTTCGATAAATAGTATAGTAATTTATTTTAAAAACTCTTTTATATATGTTCTTATAATTTCTGTACTTTTCTTTTTTACTCATAAACTAAAACAGTGAAATTCGTAGTCATAAATAACATGATATTTTAAGTTTACCAATTTTATAAACTTAGTGACGCAAAGAAAAGATTAAAGATGGAATAAAATATATGGATTCCAAAAAAAAAAAATTGCCTGAGTAAATAGCAGTACAAATTTTAAAGTTCATTTCTTAGCCAAAAAGGAATTATTTGTGATCAAAGTTAATACTGAGTGGTCAATTACATGCTTTAGAACCTCCCCTAAATCATATCATATGAGATCCTAGAACAA